AGATAGATAGATAGATAGATAGATAGATAGATAGATAGATAGATAGATAGATAGATAGATAGATAGATAGATAGATAGATAGATATTATTGCATTATGGTTTACTGCAGTCGATTTTTCTTTGTTAAAAAGATTGGTCGGGGGGTTGCACCATGTTTCCATGTTCTGAGCTTTGCTACCCAGGACAGGAAGCCAAATTGCTCAGATGCAGAACAGGATTTTATCTACGGATCTCACAATAAAGCGGCCTGAATACACATATGCTCCACACTTTTCAGAATTCTTTTTCTGCTTTAACAAAAAAAAAATAAAAATAAAAAACATACCTTTTATCACAATTTTCATTTATGACCAATTTTTTTGTTCACTGTTAAAATAAAATGCTGCTCCAACTTTAATAGCAGCTTCAATTGGTAACATTGAATTAAGTTTGCTTAAATTAATTTATTTAAGTTTTCAACTTATAAACGCAACAAATTAGGTTGCATCAAAAGGATTCAATTTCTTGTCACCATTTGGAGCAATTCATTTCAGTTGGAGCAGCATTTCCTTTCTAGTGTTGGTCTATTGCAAAAAAGTCCGAATAGATGTGAGACAAATTGTGAAAAAGTTAAAAGGATGTTGAATTTTCCTCAGTGTGTGGAGCAGTAGATACTCTCTTTAGTTTTCACCTGCAACATTTCAAATGCTCAAACGGTTTTTACAGTAAATGTAACAAAAATTAAATATTTCAGAGAGAGATATCAGGTACCTGAATTATCGCATCACGTTCTTGACGGTTTCTGTGGGGAGATGTTTTATAAATGTACAAGCAGGTTCAGGCAGTTAGTCTTGGCTTCTTTTAAAAATGCACTTATTCATGGTCTGCTTTCCTTGGCTGCCATTCAGAAAGACAAACCTTTAAATGGATGAGAGAGGGAGAGAGAGATGCTTTATTGGGATTGTGATATGCAGGACAGAACGTGACATGGGTTGATGAAGGAAAAACAGGGAGGAGGAAAATGATGCTTAGATTGTCTTTGTGCAACAGGAATAAAGGGCTGATTAGCATAAGATACAGAAAAAGAGGGAGAGTGGAGAAAAATGACTAAAAGGAAATGAGACGATAAGGTGAGAGGAGAGGGCAAGAGAGCAGAAGAGCAGTCAGGATGATAAGATTTAAAAAGAGAGCAAAAATGAGTTAGGAGCAGCTGAATTCATTTGGTCGTTGTGCTTAAAACAGCAAACAGAGCTGCCATTCTTCAGGTTTTCTATCTTTGAATCCATCTGTGCATCTAAAAGACAACCCCCAGTCTCACTGTACTGTGTGTGTGATCTGGGTCCCAAGGCTGTTTCTAGTGGTGACTCTATTAGGTTGCCGAGGGAGACGAAAGCTCTGCATTATGGGATAATAAGGAGAACTAGTGCTTTTTGGCATGCATGTCTCTTTAATCAGCTAATGGATCCGTCTGTGTGGCTGTGTGTGTAGATTTAAAAACAGTCTATATCAGTGTGTGTGCTGCTCTTATGCTAATTTGTATTCCAGTCAAAAGACTTTCCGACATCACTACATCATCCTGAATTTGCAGCTGTCCTCTCTAATAGGCGCTGCCATTAAAAGCTGATTTCATGCTTCCTCTGGCTACCTCTAGTGTTTAGATATAGAAATGAACAGCAAAGTGGTGATGAAATGTGTCTCCTCAGGGAAACGGAGGGACCGCGGCGCCCGCCTCTGCTGAAGAAGGCCAGGAAGACTTTGTGGGCGGTACTTATGTGAGATTCGATGCCCCGAAAGCCAAGATGAGGAAGAGCTGGCCCGGTGTCCGCGGTACTCCCTGCTTTAATCTTCTTCTCTCACCGTTCAATTACCCTCTGACAAATAAATCCCCTGGTGGGATTTATTGGAAAGCATCAGAGTTCAACTGTGAGTCATCAGATTTTTAATTACTGGTGCATATGTGCATGTCTCTCCCCCCCAACAGACATGATCTTGCACCGTTACGTGGTGTCACGTGTGATCTGGGCCTACATGCTGTCCATAGCCGTGACCTACAGCATCACTCTGTGTCTCTTCCCTGGGCTGGAGTCCGAGATACGGAACAACACCTTAGGGGAATGGCTGCCCATCCTCATCATGGCCACCTTCAACATGTCCGACTTTGTTGGCAAGGTCAGCAAAATTTTCAGCTATATGAAGCTATAATGGTATTATATAGATATTAAGGCCAGAATCACTTCTACTCCTCACACATTTAGTCAATTGATTCAACTTAGAGGTTTTCTTTTTCTTTTTTTTCATTTAAAAATTGGTTTATTAAATGTTTTCTTTACTTTTCTATAACAAATGTAAAAATCTTTAATGGTAATTTGAAAGATTCTGGTTCTGATTCCTTCTTTTTCATCCTGGTTCCTTTCAAACCTCAATTCCAAAAAAAAAAAAGAATCATAAAATCTCACCTGTTATGAATGAGCTGGATAACCAAGTTCTGCCCTTAATAAAATACTCTGAACTTCCCAATGAAATTTAATTCCTTAAACATCTAAATTTGTATGGACTTTGCGTTACATCATTACATAGTTATTTTTAACCAGTATATAAATATCAGTCCTATGAACGCTAATATAAGCTTATGAATTTTCCTTTCACAGAGCCCGACTGGTCAAATCTTTATTTAACTTTAAGCAAACTTTCAAATGCTGCTTCACAAACAGGTGGTTGCAAACAGACTTCTTCTTAGGCAGCTTCTTTTTCCTGTCGGCAGCCAAGATAAAGAAAATAGGAATCGAAAATGAAATATTTGGACGATTGCAGGAGAATTCGAAGGTCAGAACCAGTGCCAACCGATCCTCGATACCCAGAGGTCTTTAAAATCCTGGAAAGTTTGTGAATTTGAAAAAAATATATATTCCAAGCCTTGGAAAGTTTTTTAAAATAGCCATAAAGAGACATCTGTTTTGAAAATATTTTTATTTTATTTTATTTTTTTGGTTTGAAATTTCACTCAGATGACAACAGAACTTCATGATCATTGGGCTGTTTTTCTATTTCTTCTTGCGTTTCTATGTAGTCATCATGGATAACATGCGTGTAACAGCAGGTGCATTGACGGATGCAATCTTCTCCCTTATCAGTTGGTAGATTGCCAGTCAGTCAGTGACTCGGTAATCGAATGGACAGAAAATTCTGATTTCAGGCTACATGGCTTGCCAAAAACAGCCATGGGTAACAAAGGACCAACAAAGACCCAGGCGCTAAAAAACAAAAAAAGTAACGAGCATGGGTGAAGCTGCTATGCTACACCAGCTTCTCACAAATACATGCTTTTGAAATTAAAATTACATCTCTGTTTCAACATGCAACAAGTGCCTAATGTGATGAATAAAGTTCAGATGTGTAATTGTAGTTCCTTAGTTGTTAGCATTAGTTAGCTGCTTATGTTGTCGCTGAACATGACTAAACATCGCTTTAGGATGCTGTACTATCATATTGGCACCAATATCCTACATCAAAGTAAATCTTTCCTAACAGATAAAAAGAACAATAACTTTTTTTTTTTACAGTATTCATATTTTTTGCTGTGCAATAAATTTTTTGGGGGGCAAAGAATGCAGAGGAAAAACTGTCTTTTTATTGCAGACAGTTTCTCTTAGTGTGTCAAATTCTACCTTTCTTTATACCAAAGGGGGTCCAGAGAGAAAGGTTTGGAAACCACTGCAATGATCCTCTAGTCTTGTAAAGTGGAAACTTTATATTCAAGTGCTTTTGTTGTGGTAGAGAAGAGAAACATGTTGCATCCAAAGATTATCCTGACCTGCTACTTGGGCAAGACAGTTAGACTTCCTAATTCATCTGCCACTGGAGGAAGAGGATGCATGAAATGCATGGACTGACTGTTAGCGAGCGTCTTATGAAATCAAACAATAACGGGCATTTCAAAAATGAGTGTAAATCGGGATATATATAAAACACAAAAAAATTTGCAGCATTGTGTACGCTACAAATACAACAGCAGATAACCCTTAATGATGCAGTATTGACCAAACAGAATAGTTTTACTCGGCTTTCTCCTGGGATTATGTGAGGGTCGGCAGAAGACCAGTAGCTTATATTGTCAGAAACGTGATTTAATGTCCTTTTATCAAATGCCTTTTCTCCTTAGATACTTGCGGCACTTCCCTATGACTGGTCTGGGGGCCGCCTGCTCTTCTTCTCCTGTCTGAGGGTGGTCTTCATCCCTCTGTTTGTCCTGTGCGTGTACCCGGTGGGTGCGCCCATGCTGTCCCACCCTGCCTGGCCGTGTCTCTTCTCCCTCCTCATGGGAGTCACCAATGGCTACTTTGGGTCTGTCCCGATGATCCAGGCTGCAGGGAAAGTGCCCCCTGAGCAGAGGGAGCTGGCAGGTGAGTGTTACTGTGCTAATACACCATCTTAAAGCAGTGTAAACCAAAAATCTTCAAGATCAGATTAGATATGAATTTACAACAGCACTAAAACTGTCATGACTCAGAAAAGAGGACCCAGTATTCAAGGCAAGACAGACAGTGGTATTATTCAAAAAGCATTTATTTAAAACGGGATCCGCGGATTTGAAGTAGCAGCGGCTAGGGTGTCAAATTCAGGAACCTCTACAGGAGAGAAACACAGGTTAGTGAACATGATAATCTGATGGAGGATGATCATAAATGCATGAGTCTCTAACCTGGTTTTACAGTTCAGTCCGTGCCCAGAGAACGAGGTTGATTCCAGCTGGTTGGCTGATAAGACACAGTGGACGCTGACAGAGAGTTCCAGATGCTGAAGCCTTGAAGGCTGCAGAACTGGCAGCAGATCAGACCCAAGCAGATGATGGAAGGCAGGATAAACCAGGTTCAAGTCAGGAGGCAGATCCAGGTTCAGTTCACAAGAAGAATCCAGCAGGAGTCCAAAGACAGATTCAGGCACACAGATCAGAACTGGGACAGGCAGACTCAGAGGTCCAAAAGCAAAACGGGTCAGGATCAGTTACACTAAAACACTCTCACATCAAAGGCTCCAGAATTATCTGTCCTGATAACTGGAAGCAGGCAGGTAAAAACAAATCAGACGGGTACAGGAGGGTTCACTGATTGAGAGGCAGAACAGGAAATCAGAAACGCTAAGGTAACGCTGCTTCCCACTGGCTCGAGAGAAATATCTGGCCCTGATGACTGGTAGCAGGCAGCTTTAATAGAGGCAGTAGCAGGTATATGAGATGAGCAGTAAAGTGAAACTGTTAGACAGGTGAATGAAAATAGAAATTAAGCCAGTCATCAACACCAAGATCAGGACAAAAACTTGTTTCGCAACAGCAGAAAGAAAGAAAACCATCTAAGAAAAGGAAACAGAAATGTCACAAAGTGTCATGTTTCGGTTTGTGTGAGCTGCTGCTCACTGTGTTTTTCTAAAATGAAAATTCGTTTTGCACACCTGCATAGATGCATGCTCCAATCCAAACCTTTAAAATCCTTATTGTGTTAGCTTGATTTATTGATAAGGAAGTAAAGGTAAGGTTATTTTATCTTTTTTGCAATAGTGCACAACCAGTAAATATTTTAAAAGCTTTTCTGAATTTAATTTGACTTTAATTTTTTTTTCTACACTTTTGTACTTTAAGCTATGTGATAAACTGCTGTTACTTACCTATCAGTGCAACTAAATAAGTGTTCACACCCCAATTAAAAAATATAAATACCTCTTTTTTTATCATTGATATGAGATGTATCTTGTTCTTAAAAAATATTCAATAAGAGAGGGATTGTTTTGTTGTTGTTGTTGTTTTTTTTTTTTTTTTTACAAAAATCCGGTTGCATTATTGTGCTCAACCTTAAAGTAGGGTTACAGTTTAAGGCCATTATGCATCTTTTTTGTTTGCAAAAAAACTAATCATATAATAATAGGATTTTGACATCAATTAAACAGTGCACGCACTGGTTTTCCAAGAAATTAACTAAAATGGCATTGGAAATAGTCCAAAATGTGCCTAAGGTTACCTACAGCTGAAGACAGCACTGATGTAGAAGGAAAATAAATGGCTTCCTGCCATGAAGATAACAGCAGAATGACCAGATACAGCAGCCAAAGTTCGGCAAGTTTATTTTTAACAAAACATCAATGCTGCAAACACATGAGGGATGCAGCGATTCATGTATTTACTGCAACAACAAGAAGATTGAGCTGACTTAGAGGCGCTAAGCAGATCATTGAGTTTCTGAAGTGTCTTTAGATTATTCTTTCTTAATTTAAAGACTTTGTTTTTTGCAAAACCCACTAATTTAAACAAGAGGCATTTTGGGTCTTTAGTCGCGGTGGTGATATTTAGATTATGCTATTAATCTCTGTCTTTAATGACTACAGATCTACCATGAATGACCAGAGGATCATTACTCTGCTTGTTTTCCCTCAGAATAGGACTGATTGAGGCGATTATAAACAAATTTACTGGCTAACAGTCCTTAGCCAGAGCAGTTAGAGCTGCGCACTGCTCTTCCAGCTCGTTCAGTCTCTCACGTCTTCTTATTTAATGTTCTTTCAGAGGATAACATGACAGATTGTTATTGCCCATAATAATGCCTGAAGCATTTTTTTGCCTGCCTGATATGGATTTGTGAGTAATCTCTGAGATAAAATGGAGCGGTACCGCTTCTGCATCAGGAGATAAAAGGACTGATGGGTTTTTAACTGTTTTTTCGTTTAAAAAAAACTCAAAGCAAAGCAAACAGTCCAGCATTTAAAGCGTTGACTTGATGGGCTAATGAAGAAAATAACTTCCCCTTCCTGTCTAAACAGGATATGATTTCAACCGTCTTTACAGGAACAGTCGTACATGTCTATTTGTTCTCATTATCCGTCTGAAACGCCATTAAAAGATGTGTTAAGTTTAATGTTATTTGAATAGTACAGATCATTTATGTTTATGGTTTTATGTCTTTATAAGGAGTCTCTGAGGCATCCCAGTTATTAAGCTGTCAATGTTTTCCACTCTTTCTGCCAATAATTCTCTAAATTTATCAGACCCTTCATAAAATCCCCTCTAAATGTGATTTTCTGTTAGTTTTTTTCTGAACTAAAAGTTTTGAAGTCAGTCTCTATTTAAATGTCTGCTGAACCTCAGGGTGGCATGAAGGAAAGCAATAAGTTTGATGTTCATTAATTTACAAAAACTTCCCGTTGTGTTGTGACAGTATCTCCAAATCAGTTAAATCACTAGAATTGTTTGATTTTGGATTATATTAGATTATTATATTATGTTCAGGTGATACAGACTGGAGATCTTGACCTTGCAAACTGTCCTCATGGGAAAATGTGAATCCCCGATCTGTCCATCCCATAAATACTAAAGGTTGTCTAGATTTATGCTTTCCTTTAAAATATGGAACACCAACGTCTCCTTCTACTCATTACTCACTTAAAACTCACCTGAACTAGAAATCTTTTATTTTTTTTATAAAGCTCACATAAAGCATTAAGTGGAAGGAACATGGGTCCTCTCCATCAGTTCCTTTCATTAAATCGTGATTCATGTAGCAGCAGCATCATTATTGTTTAATGGGAAAAAATCCTTGAATTCCTGCTTTGTTCAGCAAAAAAACTTAATTAAAAGCTTGAGGTTGTTCTCTACATGGGCCTGATCGATCCCAAATAAAAGGAACTAAATTTCATGTACAACAATCTTTAGTAAGTGGGTGTGTTGCCGCGATCTAAAAAGATAGCTGCACAAATGTTAAGACTGATTGGCTGTTCTACTGGCAGCTTCAGAGCCTTCATAAAAGAAAGATGAGGTTCTAAGCCATGTAGAGTAATAATTATTACAAATAATATTGACAGTGCAAGTCATAGCATATCTCACAGTGCTACCAACTAAAGTTAAAGAAAACAAGAACCATCATCAAAATGTGTCTTTGCAGGCTATTGTGATATTCTACTTTTTGTTTATAAACATGATACAATTGGGCTGCTCAGTTGTGGAGTGGGTAGCAAGAAGGTTCTGTGTTCAATTCCCGGCCCAGGGTCTTTCTGCTTGGAGTTTGCATGTTCTCCCTGAGCATGCGTGGGTTCTCTCCGGGTACTCCGGCTTCCTCCCACAGTCCAAAAACATGACTGTTAGGTTAATTGGCTTCTCCTAAGGTGTGTATGAATGGTTGTGTGTCTCTATGTTGCCCTACGATGGACTGGTGACCTGTCCAGGGTGTACCCCGCCTCTCGCCCGTAGACAGCTGGAGATAGGCACCAGCCCCCCCTTGTGACCCTGCTTGGGATTAAGCATGTCAGAAAATGGATGGATGGAACATGACACAATTTTAATTGTGAAAATATTATCTGCTGTCTTGCTGCATTTATTTCTGCCAACCTGTTGACATTTTTCTCTTTATGGATATTATTCTACTATTGCTATTTCTGACAGTCCAAATATGTTTTCATGTCCAGAACATCTTCTTTGTGGCAATAATGACCACAGATTTTTTTTTTTTTGCACAAGTTTGCATCTAACTTGCAGAAGTGCTAAAAGAAAAGATGCACAAACTGAGACTGCAGTTTAGTTTCCATTTTGGAAAAATCACTTTTGAGGAGATAATTGTTTACATTTGTATATCCTCTTCAACTTGATTGGTTTGGTGATTAGAGCGGAGGTCTTCAACAGGGGGGCCGCGGAGGTACTTAATGGGGGTCATGAAAGTTTTTGGTTGATTACACTTTTTTTTTCCATATTCCCCGTGCAAATTTTTCCATTAATTGAAATGTCTTTAAATACACATTAACATGAATTCAACACACTGTAGTAAACAGATAATGGAGGCAGAAGATGTATTTCAATCTTCAATGCAGTCAGTGACATACAGGAGCTTTTTCAAGCACCGTTTTATTTAAAACACCTGTCCCATCAACGAGGAATCAGAAATACTTTAATAATCCCAGGGCGAAATTACGTTCATTGCATTACACCTTCTGTAATAGAGTGACTATAGGACCAGTTTGATATAACACAATTTCATACAATATATATAATTAGGGGGTCCCCGCTCCATCTCACCATCAGTTTTGGGCTCCTTGGCCTGGAAAACATTGAAGACCCCTGGATTAGAGTATGATTGTCATACTGATGAAGGGAACAAACTATCTGCTTGATTAGAAGCAGAAATCACTTTGCACCTTCTTTGAATATCTGCTCTGCCTGAACAAACAGGTTTGCACATGGGTGGTTCTAGATAGGGGCCAGCAGGGGCCATTGCCCCTATGGAACTGGCCGCAGTTTGGCCCCTCTACTAAAGACACATTACCAAACCAGTTTTATATGATTGTCATAGAAACTGTAACTGATTGGTCTATTGAATAAATATATATTTACAATTTTACTTTAACAAGGATTTAAAGATGCCTGTAGAAAAGACAAAAATCTTTATCTATTAGAGCCAAGTCTCCAGATCCATGAGTGGCTTTATTGGGTGATTTTATTTGAAATTATTAACCATTATGCTGTTTTTTGTTTTATTCTTTTGCTCTGTGAATCCATGAAAAGACACTGGCCCTAAGTTGCCCCCCTGGTAAAATTGGTCCAGATTTACACCTCTTTTAAAAAGCACAAACCTCTTGAAGACCAGACCTGATGATAAATCAATTAAAAAGATAGTGGCAAAAATTGAGACATATGAAAATGTTTTCTACTCTCCTTTTATTCCCACCACCCTATAATTATCCAGCTGAGTCAGTAACATTTTGGATCTAAGCTCCTTTCCTCTCCTGGAATGGCTGCTCACTAATTTCCTGTTCTGTTTCTCCATCTTCCTGCAGGAAATACGATGACGGTGTCCTACATGACGGGTTTAATGGTGGGCTCCTCGGTGGCGTACGCCACATACAGCTTCAACCCTACAGCAGCAGGAGCATGCCCCCCCCCACACGCACCTTTCAATGCTACAGGGTACTGAATGTCTGCATACACTAAAACTCACACACATAGACTTTAACACTGTATTTATGTGCAGCAGAAGTAAGCATTTAAAGTTGTAGCATCATGATGAAGTTTCAAAGAGGGAAAGAGCCGGAGCACCCCCCCGCCCGCCCCACAGCAGCCGGCCGGCCGAGGCTAACATGGATGACCTTTGAGAATCACTCAGTGGAATTACTGCCTGCATGAGGACCAACAGATTGTCTGACATTTGTAAGGCAGAAAGGCAAGTCATGTTTCACTGCAAGGAGCGAAGCCGAGTTTCTCTACAAGTCTGACTTGTTATTAATGATGACCCAGAGACAAGGTTAAAGCGGGAGGGGGGGCCTCAATTTAAGAAAGGATTTATTCGCTTACTCATTAAGAAAAAAAAGAAAAAAGTTATATTTTGAGCAACTTTAGAGCGTCATTTCCCCAAATTGTATGATAATAAATGATTAAAGCAAAGGCGCTGACATTATTATATAGTTCATATCAGCATAAAGAAAATTATATTTCCACTCCAGGCAGTTTAATCATAATAATCATTCCTAACAGGATCTATTCATGCTGGATCAGTGATTTTTGCTGTTAGCATGTTAGTGTCATTCTGAATATTATTTATTTAAATGTATTCTTGCAGGTTTGAGAGGTTTTATCAGGAAAAAAAGGAAAATGTAAGAAATACAGGTTTTTAACTATCTTGTAAAAGGGAGGGTTTTTTTTCCATTAAAGCTATATCGTTAGTGTAAACCATGATAAAAGGGGAATAATCAATTCAGATATTTATCTCTGCAGAGAATCTAAAAAGTGATCCATTTTAAAGCGAAAAGGAAACCCCCAGAAAAGTTTGTACATGTGGAAACAGTCGCATGCAGTTTTTTACCCAGCAGTTGTTGTAGCTGAGCAAACTCTAACCTGCAGAAGGATTAAGAAGATGAAGAAGAAGTAGATTCATGTCTCTGTGTGTCTAAGAAGCCTTGTGATAAATCCAGCTTTGTCTTACTGTCATAGAGGAAAATTGTAGAATAAACCTTTAATTTCAGCGTATTGTTTTCAGCAGTGGCAGAAAAAAAGATATCTAAGAAGTTATAGATATGCCTAAGAATAATTTTTTGAACAAAAACTTGTTTTTAATAACCTGTGACTTTAGCAAAGTTATATATAGAAATTCACAAACTAGTTACTCTAAACAACTCCTCGAAATTAAGAAAATTTTTCTTTTTTTTTGGCCTTCAAAAGTCAAAACATCTGCTCACTTAAACTTGCCAGGGAATAATAATAATCAGGGAAATTATTGCAAACTTAAGAAAAATCATTAGGCCGGTTTATCCATCAGCACAGATGTAGGATATTAAAGGAGGGAGAAAATCTTCAAACTTAACTGGTTTTAGGTTTTTATGAAACTAAAAAGGATATATCTAAATGCTGACAGAAAACAGAATCTTTTACAATCAAAATGTAAACCTAAGGAATTTGTTCAAATTTATTTTCGCTGATCTTTTTGTTCCTAGCATGAAACAAAGAAAATATGTGTAGAAAATAAGACCAAATATTTTAAACTTCAGTAATTTTATCTGTGGATTTTTATGACTTTTCAGATTCTTCAAGAAATGCTCAGCAGTAAAAGTATTGATTTCAAGGCTTTGAACACAAACCAGGGACACAAATAAATGTGGATAGTTCTATATGTGCTTCAGTATTAAATCACTGCTGTTTTACACCTTTTTGGTGCCAAATCTATTTAATAAGTCTGAGATACGCGTAACTAATCCTTTAGCTTGAACATTTTGAATTTAAATGTGCATCTTTTTATTTCCGGTTCTATTTTCTCTTTCACTGTGCAACATTTTCCTCCTGGATCTCTCCTTGAAATTAATCCCTTTATATCAGTGCTGCAGGTAGATTTATGAGGGGTAAAAAAAAAAGGCTCAAAGCGTGACTGATCTACCTTAAAATAACGCATCACTTTCAACCATCCATCTTTTGGATTTCTTATCTTCTGACTGAAGTAAACAAACCACTGTGTTTTTGAGACAGGGTAGAACATAAACCTGTTTTTGTTTCTCTTAAATGTTTGTGATAATGTGGATATCATCAGCGTTAAAATGTGGGATGAACTGTGCCAAAAAAAAAAAGAAATGCCTGAATGTAAAGCTACAATATAAAATGCACTAAATATGACAACGTGTTTCTGCTTTTGCTTTTTCAAATCCCCGTTTTGTAAACTTTAAAGTTGATCCCTCAGAAACTAGCCTCAGTGGATACGTGCTACAATATCTGTTTGAAGAGCGGTTTGCAGCCGTGTGGGAGCTGACCTCATTACGGCGTGTGCGTCCTGCTGTTGTGGGAGCACCATGTTTCCCCAGGCCTCTCTGAACCACCCGGTTTGAAGGTGTCTGTAGTTATTTTTGGTGAAACATGACGTTTTAGGACATGAAAAGTCTCTTTTGATCAGGAAAGAATATGGAAAGGAGAAGGAATCCTCCTCATGAAACTGACTGAAAATCCTACGGTTTGGAATTTATTAGTTAGAAATAAATAATAAAAAAAAAAACAGATTTTTATTTTAAAGCCAGAAAGAAAAAGAGGATGGATGCAAACATATGACAAAGGGAGCAGTCTTTCTTAAACATGACCCTGAACTGCCAAAATAAATGTCAAATATCCTTTAGAGAAGAAGATATTAAAAATGATCTGTGCCTCCCTGAATAAAAATGATGCTTAATAAAAAAAAAAAAAAGACCTATTTTTGTGATTTTTACCTAAAGTTGCTTTAAGGCTGTTTGCTTATAATAGGGATTTTTTTCCCATTCCTAAAATTGACAAACATAAAAAACATTAAAAAAGTAAAAACAAGGCTGCTACAATGATTGCTAATGAGGGACACTCTTCCATATGGAACAGCCACCGGGATGAAATCAGTTATCGCGGAGTCTGAAGTTTGAATTGAAGAAGGATCATTTTTATTGGAAAGGAGGAACAGTAAGTCAAAAAGATGGTGTTGGGTAGCTTTATTTTTTAAACCCTTAGATTTTAAAGACTGAGCTTTCAGTTTTCCTATAAATTTAGAAACAGTTTGAGGCAAAAATGAAAAGAAAAAAGGATCAAATTGTGCCAGCTTTTAGGCAGACCTTGTCATTTCTGCTCCAGGTCTCATCAGGTTTATTACTCCTGTTTCATTAGAGCAGTGTAGCAGAAGGGGAGTTAAGGAGTGGTGGCCTAGTGGTTATGGCATTGGGCTTGGAATCCTGAGATTGGGAGTTTGAAACCCACTCCCACAGTCTGCCACTCTGGATCCCTGAGCAAGACTCTTAACCCACACTCTGCTCCCTGGGAGCTGCAAATGGCAGCCCTTTGCTCCCCAAGGGGACGGGTTAAAAGCAGGAAGTGAATTTTGTTGCACTGTACTTGTGAGAGTGTAATGACAATAAAACACTGGGGGAAAAAAATACTTTTTTTTTTACGTATAACCCATTTCTACATCTCCACATGTAATTGATGACCTATTAAAGGTTTGGCTTGGATGTAAAAACACACGATAGCTGCAGCTAATCTTCAAAGGTTCACAAAGATTATTTAAAGAAAATCGATTAACACAATAACATTCTGCTGACACCTGAAATAGGAAAAAAGGCTAAAATAAAAGTAAGAAATTTCATTTTTTTGAATTTTTCAGGAATCATGCTGTGTCCTCATCCTACATTTTCTTTTTTTCCCCCAAAGCCAGTTTTCCTTCCCCCCCCCTTTATCCTAACCTCCCAAACAAAAAAGAAAATAAAATTTTGTGTATATGGATAAAATATGAATGTTCAATCTCTCATTTTACATCAGGTAATAACACTAAAGTTTGAAATGTTTTAATGAGAAGGTTTTTTTTTTTGTAAAGATAATTTGTTTGCATAATGCTGTGCTGCTCCAGCATCATCATCCATATTCATCCAGATATGGCAGTTCCTTTTCCCATTTAAAGGCATGTCTCTGAATGCTTTTTAATGACAGGGAAGTGTATTTTAAAGATATTTATCCTCCTTTTAAAAGACAATTTTAAAGTGTTCTTCATTTATATTTTATGTTTATGCATTTTACTTACTCTGTCATGATCTTGATGTCTGGTCTGTTTTTATTTTCTCGCCTCAGACAGTTTCACCAGATACTTGTTGATCATGCGACTGCACACTGTGAGCAATGAGGTAAAAAAAAAAAAGGGAGGTGCACACAGATATCCTGTAAATAGTGTACATAGATGGACTGTAACATTTGAGAGATGAAATTTGTGACAAAGAATGATTTAAGAATTTTACAGATTCTCTGTAAAGAACGTAGATAAACGTGCCAAGTACCAAGATGACCCGATTCCTGGTGCCAGATTTGCATGAAGCTTCACAAGCTAACGACTGGATAATGTTTGGTTACAAAGAAAATATCATTAATGTGGATGCACACCGCATCCGTTTGGCTCATTGTTTTGTTTTTTTTAGTCACCAGCCTGTCAAAGTTGTTGCCAAATAATTCAACCAAAACTATTTTTTTTCTATGATTGTACAGAAACCCAAACTAACTAACATCAGCTGTTTTATTTAATGCTGGTTCAGTGACTTTTGATTTTTCCAAAACAATATGTTTACGCTTAAGATTGTACCACAAGTGGCGCCTAATAAAAGTTGTTTACATCTCTGTCTGCTTCTGTGTGCAGTAGTTAATTCAGCTGCTAGCGTAGATTTGTTAGGAGGGAGAAAAAACATTTCTTTAATTCTCGTTTCTTTGTTTCTGCTTAAATTGATCATTCAAATAAAAATCCTGCTCAAACTGATTATTTTACGTATATTTAACTAATGATTCAGCATCAAAGCCGCTAGTTGAATGTTTTATGAGCTGAAATTATGTGTTGAAGTATTTATGTTGCTTAGAAATTCATTGATTCTTTATTAATGCTCTTAAAGGATTAAAATTTTTAGACTTACCTTTAGAAGTTGTAGAAAGACCAATCAGTCTGCAGCTTAACCATCCAGTTAAATGTTAAGATTCGGACTTCAATAATTTATCGATTCACTGTAGTACATGGAATAAGTAATATCTGAATAAATGCTGAAAACAATAATCTATCTTTAACTAATATACATTTATATATTAATTTAAACATTTATTTGCACATTCACGTAATTATAGATACAATTTAATGTAATGTTTATGTTTTACCTTAGCTTTCACATATATGAATACTAACACCTTTTCCAACAGAAAGACCAGCAGATTAGCAGGTGTATTAACAGCTGGTGCAGAGAAATGCATTTCCTCTACTATCCAGCAGAGGGAGCTGCAGCTCCGAAAACATAATGAGCTTCTAGAGGTAATCAGTTTTCACAAGAGATAAAGCTGCTTTTTTGTTGTTGTTTTTTTAACCAAATCCATATTTTCTAAACTTTCTTTCCAGAAAAAAGGAAATAAAATAG